TGAATGATTTGCGCCATCTTGTGAACTGCTCAACACATTTTATTATTGGAGATGCAAATACCGTGGGGCTACGTTTACAAGTGCAAAGTCGCCTCTTCGAGTGAGTGACGATTAGTGAGACCCTCACGTGGCCAGACGTATTCCAGAACAATAATACGTGATACTGCTACAGAAGATAGATCATTTTCACCTGAACCTCCTACGCTGGTTAGTGTAAACAGTTTGGAGAAGAAAAAGAGTCAATCAATCTTTAGGTTAATTCGATGAATTTAGAATAGATCGTGTTTTTATTTAAAAAGTACTAGAGTTTGATGAAACTGAGTTTGCAGCTTGGAGAGTTCCGTACAATCACTCTGCACATGCATGAACCACCCAAACATAAATAGAGTGATTCCAAGCGGTGAAATTTACAATGGATTAAGTCTTTAGATTGTGCTTAGTCCACGGAAGTAATCCGATTTCTCATTATTCTGGAGCATGATAACAAGCTAAAAAATACTGACGATTGTGCAACGCTGAGTGAGATAGCGTTTCAGACTATGTCTATCAGTTTGCCTATGTGATGAAACGCCAACCTCGTGTCTAGACGAGATGCGACCGGGTGACTGGCTCGTAAGTATAGGAATGCAATCATCCCAATGTGTTCCAATATAAACGGATATTTGAGAGAGTGCACCTCACTCGTCAAAAAGATTTTAGCCGTTGACCGGGAATATGATAAATCCGCCGATTCATTGCGGTAATCAGCATGAATATTGAGTGATCACCATGGTCAGCTGTTGGGGATTATTTGTAGAAATCGGTTGACAACTCAAAAGGTTATTCCGATCCCGCATAACACAGTAAGCAGGTCAATCTAAAATATACTTTGATCCAATCAAATTTGGGTCATCAATCTGGTGTGCTCACAATCATCAACGTGCATTTACATAATCATGTAGGGTTAAATAGAGATTGGTTAAATGTTGCGTAATTGCCACAGGTAATTCGGAGGGGTAGATTAGCATATTCATGTTTTGCAATCAATAATTTTAAATGCAGCACACAAGCTACAAACGAAAGCGCATCTTAGCAATGTGCTGTGTACTTGATAAAATATGTATTGCATGGATCAAGTCAATCACTAAAACACCCAATGACCCGTGACAATCATCGGCCCCTACTGTGCCCGTAAACAACTTGCTACGTGTTAACCGGTCATGTTAACTAGAACGCAACATATAATGGGCTGAGTGAAACAACAAACAATGAATAGCGCACAGGGTACGTACCTGTGAATAGCCAAAGAGATATGAGGTAAAGGCAGAAAAATATGAAATGGTCAATGGTGAGACAATGCTGCTACAGGTGTTACGGATGTTGATGATGGAGGACGAACAGTTAAGTGAACAAGCACACGCGCGCACACATGCATGTGTACGGGTGCAATTGATGATGCGATCTATCTAAGAGGAGTCTGTGTCTGTGCCAGGGTGAACAGAAAACCAGCCAGTCACGTCCGATCGTGTACACGAACGTGGCTGTTCGTGTTTATGGATGGTGGTTATAAAGCCGCTCGTGGGGTTAAATTTGAGGTGGTGGAACATTACGGGATGACTTGGGGTGGATGAGGCCCAGGAGGGGGGGGGGTGAACACAAGGCGAGTGCAACAAAATAAACTTTGTGTTCGTGTGTGCATGTGTAGTGCNNNNCACCTCGTGATCTTCACTGTATTGGTGCATAGAAAGTGAAGAGTCACCACGAGATCAGCGAGCGCGCGCACACACACATCAGTCGAACCATGATATTGGAGTAGTGCAAGTAAAGAGTTATCAATAAAGTGAATTAGAAAACCTGTGGAGAGTGTGGTTGAACGAGTTTCACTTTGTTTCATCCATGACATCATCGAATTATTCATTCTGAATGACTCACAGAACCTGCGAGGTTGTACAGTGTACCGATTGCACGTGTTTTAACGTGAAACGTTGCAATATACGATCGAGGTGCGTCATTAATCCTCGGTTTGAGGGAACCCATAGTACTCATGCGCCGTGTAATTTGTATTTGGAGATTGTGTTGCGTTTGAAAACTTGTGGGGATAAAGACACTAACGTATGATACTTTGACGTCAGTCAATCCGGGGGCTCGAATAGAACAAACATAAGTGAATGTTTACAAGTTTTCGAAACAAAGAATTACTCTAAAAGCGCCCTTGATTCGAAAGTGGATCAAACAATTGATTCGCAGTGTAAAATGAGAGTGGAAAAACGCGGGGGACTTTAAATAATGAAAACGAAGAAGAAACAGTAATACACTACCAGCAGAATGTTTAAGTTGTATTCAAGCTTCCAGAATTAGTTCAACCTTATCAGCACTGATTACTTTACATTTTTAAATAAAAACAGCTGCTGGGACACCATTCCTAACTATTTCACATAATATTTAAGCATGCATTACGCCACCCTCAAATGATTTATGCAGTTCTTCTTGATTATGCCAGCCAAAAACTATGATATCAAGGGGCGGGGAGCGGGGTAGTGGTGGACACTGACTATCTGCGGGCATCCGGGTCATAAGCTTCTAAACAAGTCTGCATGAACACCGGGGTTGTGCTTCACCAAATAAATGGTCATGAATGACCGGAGACGGTGTGTGGGGACGTGATGGTCGTTTCTCTTCCGGAAAGCATTCCTCAGGCGACAAATGTTTAGGAACATCAACTCCGTGTCGTACATCCAAAAATGATGAAAATACAGTAAAACTTTCAAAATTTGCGTCTATTCAGAATGAGGAACGGTGTGATCCGCTACCCAACGGCCATGCGGATAGTATACTTGTGCTCTCCTTGTGAGGTCCCGGGTTTGACCCCCAGTTATGTCAAACGGA